TTCTTTAGTTATTTCCCCTTTTCTTTTCCTGGAATTTTGTTTAACTGGGAATTTGAACTTCTGTATTAAAATCTTTTTTTTTATTACTCATCATATAGTAATTATTTTTTACTTTTTGTAAACTTTTCTTAATTTTACCTTTTAGTGCTCCTATTGAATTTTTAGTTTGATGGCCATACTTTGATCATGTATATAATTTCCTGCAGCAGTTTTCTTATGTGGTGGTTTAAAGTATGTCTATAAATTCTTTGATGCTCCCATCAAAATGTGTATTCTTAACAACCCTCTCTTTGAGTATGGGCTGGATTTAGTGACTTGCTTACAATGAATTAAAAAAATGCAAGTGATAGTATGTAAATTTTGGATAGCAGGTCATAAATGACGCTGTGGGGTTTTTATTTCTCTTTCTCTGGATTATTTACTGTAGGGGTAGCTAGTTGCCATATTGTAAGAGCATGCAGTGGTGTTATGAATAGTTCTGTGTAGTGAAAACTGAGGTCATCTGCCAACAGCTGTGAAATAAAAGTCATCTTAAAGAAGATCCTCCAGTCCTTGTCAAGTCTTCAGAAAACTGCATGTCAGCTGACAGCCTGACAGAAATCTCATGAGAGCCCTTGAGACAGAACCATCTTACTGCCAGATTCTTGACCCACAGAAACTGTGATATAGTAAATATTTCTTGTAAGTTGCTGAGTTTTGGGGTAATGTGTCATGCAGCAATAGACAATTAACATATCTCATGCTGAATGTTCCTTTTTATAGCATCCTGTTCTTGTTTCATAGATGTTCTAACTTCTATAATTTGACAGGGCATTAATAATCTTCATTTGTTTATTTTCCTCACTGCTTTGTCTCTAATTACTTTGCATTTCTTCTTTTCTTTCTCCCCATTCTTCCCTCTCTCCTTTTTTCTTTTCTCTTTTCTTTTCCTTTTCCTTCCTCTCTTCCTTCCTCCCCTTTCTCCTTCCCCCTTCCTTCCTTCCTGCCTCTCTCTCTCCCTTCCTCCTTCCCTCCCTCCCTCCCTTCCTTCCTACCTACCTACCTACCTACCTACCTAAAAGCCAAAGACATGGAAGGGGATATAGAGTCAGAAATGAGATGGTGGGAGGGGAGGCAAACAAATGGCAACTGTCTGCTACAGGAATCAAGGAAAGTGAAGTAGGAGAAAAGAGTAAATATAAGATATCTCCCCTTTAGGGAAGATATCTGGGAATATATTCTAGAGATATTTTATTTGTTTTGTTCACAACTTCATCAGCTATCATCAGCACTCAAATTTCTTCATACCATTTTTGGCAAGAATTTTTAATATAAGTTAGAACTACTCAGCTGTGATTCTACACTGTTTTCTTGAATTTTCCTTTTTCTAAAGCTATATGATAGGTAAACTAAGAAGTTGCAAGGCTGCATTAAATTAATAAAAGCCTACATATTATTTGTAAATAGAACAAGTAAATTGAGTGTCGATTAGTCTGACAGTAGTTTTTTGACAAAGGTAATGTCCATGGGATCATTGTAGACACCATAAATTACTGTCTGTCACTTTGAGTAAGTTTCTCAGATTTTAAGAACCTATTTTGTAAAATGTGAATATTAATAGTATCTACCCTGGGGTTGTTTTAAAGATTTAATAAGTTGCTTAGAACAGAGCCTGGCACCGTGTTTCCTGCCTGTTTCCCTCTTCTCCTTTTGTTTCCTCTTATTTAGTCTTCTCTTCTTTCTGCTTTTTCACCTCATATTTTCCCTTAGTATTAGTATTATATAACAATGAATTATATGAACCTTGAATACATCTTGGAGGAACTTCTGGCTTATTGGCTGCTTTTACAAGTCTTATCTATCTGTCACTGGAGCCAAAAGAGCTCTAACATAAGTTATATATGAATATTTTTTTATGTTACCAATTGTTATGAACCAAATGGCTGTGTCCTCCCAAAATTCGTATGTGATGATATTAGGAGGTGGAGTTGGTGAGATAATTAGGGTTAGATGAGGTCATGTGGGTGGGATCCTCATGATGGGAATTGTGCCTTTATAAGAAGAGGCCAGAAAGCTTCATTATCTCTCTCTTGGCCATGTGAGGGCACACAAAGTCCGTCTGCCAACCAGAAAGAGGGCCCTCCCTAGACTCTAAACTGCTGGCACCTTGATCTTGAATTTCCCAGATCTGTCAGAAGTAAATTTCTGTGGTTTAAACCACCCAATATGAAGTATTTTGTTATAGCAACCCAAACTAAGATACCCCTTAATGTAAACTGATGGCATAAAAACAAAATATCACCTGTGAAAACACTAGTATTAGTAATCTATACAATCAGTCAAAATGTACTAGAATAATACAGGACAATCTGCAGGGAAAGTAGAGTGATGCTTCTCAAAACATGTACCCAAACAAATACAATATGTTGTATTGAAGATGAACATTGATTTAACTTTTCACTTACTTTTGTTTACTATTGTTTACATCAGGCATATTTGTGAAGTCATGTATTTGCAAAGCACTAACAAAAACTTTTTCAACAAGATGTATAAAGTTTTAGTCACAGAATAGTAATTGACAATATTAATAAATGGAGTGAAATCTATCACATGTAAAGCTGTGGGGGTGCTCATCTCTGTACTTTGTTAGCTAATACTGTTTTCTTTACTCCAGCTAATACTGTTTTCTTTACTCCATATCTGTAAAATGCCTTCTTTACAGAGGACATTTTATTTGAAAAAAGTTGCTTCTTTAATTTATGTGTTTAACAAGGTAGTGAAAATGATAAACAGTGAATGTTTCTTTTTACTGAAAATAGTAGCATTGTTCCAATGAAAAATAAATTGAGAGGGTATGTGAAAAACTCAAGGATCATGAATCATTTGACTTTTAAATTTACATGTGATACAAAATTATAGCTTTATTGGTAAAATCTCACTTTCTTCACTGAAATGTCTTTTGAAAAGTAATTCCAAAATTGTAAAATGTACTGACTCTGGGTTAAGGACTCTTAGTCATTATTTCACTAGTGAGTTGTTCTCACAGAATGTCTGGCATTAGCTTCAAATATCTGGTTGCACCCTGTGATCTCTAGCTGCATTCCAATGGTCTCCTCTTGATGATTTCTCATCATACATAGCTTGTAATGTAGTAAAAACAAACCAACAAACACACAAAAAACCTCTTTTTATCTCTATCCATTTATTTATGGAATTCTTGGGTCTCCAAAATACTGAGCTATATAGGTGTTCCTTGACTCGATCCTTCCCTGTTAGCCTCCTGGCCCCACCAAATCAACCTCCTCATCAGTTTGCTCTTTATTTCCATGTCTCTGGTTGTATTTTGCTCCTTTGTTTGTTTTGTTGCTCAGCTTCCACTTAAAAGTGAGATTATATGGTGTTTATCTTTCACCTCCTAGCTTATTTCACTTAGCATAATGCTCTCCAGTTCCCTCCATATTGATGTGAAGGGTAAGAGTTCCTTCTTTCTTTCTGCTGCATAGAATTCCATTGTGTAAATGTATCACAGTTTTTGATCCACTCATGTATTGATGGGCACTTAGACTGTTTCCAGCACTTGTCTACTGTAAATAATGGTATGAACATTGGGGTGCATAGGTTTTGTTAATTTGGTGTTTCAGAATTTTTGGGGTATAATCCAGCAGTGGAACTGCTGGGTCAAAAGGCAGTTCCATTTTTAGGTTTTTTTTTTTTTGAGGAAATTCCATCCTGTTTTTTACACTAGCTACACCAGTCTGTTGGTGGGAATGCAGACTGGTGCAGCCACCGTGGAAAACAGGATGGAATTTCTCAAGAAACCAAAAATGAACTGCCATTTACAGTTTTTACACATACAGTATGTATACATAAACAGTTGGAGAATCTATTCAGAAAAATTTTGTTTTCTACCCGGGTATGATGGGTTACTCTCCCCAAATGGCCTGTGTACACTAGCTGTGTGTGTATGGTTGCTAAACAAACCACCTTATTTGTGAATTCATTTCTGGAAAAGTCAGTCTTAGTCTGGTTTGTTGGCAGTGGTCTGAATGGTGTGTTTCAGCCAAAGAAACACCCTTAATTTCCTACAATAGTTTGCCTACTAGGGTGCATCTTACTATACTTAGGTCTCCATTAACATTTTAACATTAAAAAAAATAAGCACACAATGATGTAAATACACTTAATGACACTGAACAATACACTTAAAATGATGAAAATGCTCAATTTGTATGTATTTTACCATAACCAACCCCCAAGCAAAATTTCGTATGGGAGAATTAGCAAATTAATAGACATTTAGAGCTGTAATTTCCTCAGCTTATCTCGCAGTATCAACCCTAAAGATGTCAAAGTTGACTATGAGAGGATGTGACATTCTAGCATTAGCCAATCTCTTCCTGGTCCTGCCTGTCTTAAAGACTAGGCTCCAGCGGTCTGGAGAAAGTCTTCCTTTTTCTTGTTCATGTTAGTGTAGCAGGACAGCGGAAACATGTAAGCGTGTTTATGTGATTGGAGACCAATGAGTAGGCAGTCAAGCTCTTCTTCCTTCATCCTGGGGAGAGGTGCAATTTAAAGGTTCTGTTCCTGCAGTTTAAAGGGTCCTGGACGTCTGGCAGCTCCACTCAGCCTGATTAACCGGCAGCCAGCAGACTGAGGGCACAGCTGGAATGAAAGAGCTTTAGATCTCAATGATAGCAGATGAAAGTTCCAAAAGCTCTGTCCAGGCTTCTGCTGTGAATCAACTTTCCAGGGTATATGATGAACATCTCTCAGGGCTTGTCCGCTGGGGTGGTCGGTGGTGCCTCTTCCTTTCGATGCCTGCCTTTGTTCCCATTCTGGCCCAGCACCCCTGAGCTACCGGAGTGCGCACCTGTGCAAAGAGCACCAGGCGCGCCCAGATTGCTGGCTCTCCAGTTCCTCTAGGCACATGCGCAGTAGCGACCCCGGCCGGCGCCTTCAGTCTCCTCCTCCGCTGCCTCCCGGTTCCGCAGTCACTTCCTGCAGCTGTTTCCCGGTGGGTCTGGTTGCACTGACTTTGGAGTCAGCCTTCAGCTGCGGAGGGGCTTGGCGGGGACCAGCTGAGAAAGTTGCGCTGAGGGAGGCGGGGTTGAGGTGGGCCCAGCCGGGTGCGGGGAAGACGTCCTGACTCCCAGTGTGTCCCAGCAGTTCCGGTGGTTCCGGTAAGTGCGAGCCACCGGAGGCTCGGGAACTAGCGGTCCTTCTGGCCGCAGTCTTTCCACCTGCTCTCCACGTGACAGGCTTGCGCTGCTTTTATTTATCTGTTTGTTTTTAAGCCTTTCACGTGCTCTATTTGGATATCTGGGCGTGCAGCTGCCTTGGCTTTGGCACTGGCCCCCACCTCCTGGGAGACTGGGGATTCCATTTTTCGTGATGGCATCCTTAAGGGGTTGAGGTGCGTGTGTGCGTGGTCGCGTGTATACATGCATGCACATTTTAGGAATGTAAGGTAATTATATGTGGGTGATGCTGAAGTATATGTTGCTTTGATTCAAATATGTAAATGGTGCCCTAGGATTAGGCACCGTCACAGCTGAGACTGGAAAACGTTAGTCAGTTCACCAAGGCCTCTTCTCCAGATTCCTGCGTTCTTTTGAGTCTTCCTTATATGATATACCTTGCCTCAGCTGATTATTTTTCTATTTTTCTCTCAGTCCTTCTGACTGTGTTCTGATGACCTCTGAATAACGCTCACTGCCTTTCATTGGTAGAATTCCCAATTTCAGACTTTGCTACTTTGCTGAGATGCCAGTAACCTGCTCCTTTATACTGTTCCCTTTCTTCTGTAGCTTTCTCCTAATGAGAAAGTGATTAGCTTTAAAACAGTATGTGAAAAGTAGGCCCCAGTGCAGTCATGAAAACTATGCTATGAACATTCCCTTTCTTTAAACAGCATACACCGTGAAGCTTTGATTTTCTTTATTGTCCCCTTCCAAACCGGGACATTAACCATCAAAAATCTTTCATTTATGTTACTTTAAGCATCAAATTGAATGGCTTTTATGATTTGAGGAATGTTTTATTTACATCAGCCCTCAAGTTAGTTTCTTTTAATCTAATGCAGTAGTTGAACAGATGCGAGTCACATGTACTTTGGTCTTTCCATATACCATCATTTGTGCTTTCACTTAAGGCTTGGCTTTATTTCTTCAGATTTATATTTTATGCTAATTTTTATTTGCAAATGTAATAATACTTGTTGTAACTGTCATACATTATTTTTGGAACTTAATATTTTGGTTGTTGAATATTAAAAAAATAATATTGAAATATCTAGCTAGTCTTTAAAACTTGTAGAGATAAACTGTGATAATAGGTAAGTCTGTACTTGGAGAGCATTTTTCCTTTAATTCGGGAGATTTTATCACCTTTGGAAGGGGGCCTCTTGTACCTCTGTGCTTTAAGAGGGGCCTTTGATGGGAGTCTGTAGGTGACATTAGGGGAGACACATGCTGCAGTTTCCTCAAGTGAGAGTAAGTGTCCGCAAAACAAGTCCAGACATGTCTAAACAATTGATAGCATTTGATTTTCTGTTTATAGTGATGATTTTTTTAAATCCAGATGTTTTGACACCCTTCTCCACCATTTCTCTTCTGAACTGGTAGCTTGTTTATGACAATTTGGTATTAATGTGTCTCTGTACAGGTTGTATGTGTAATCTTTTAATATCATGAATTATAATGAGGTAGTTAATGTTTTTGAAAGAGTGGTCTTTGTCTTCTTAATTTTGTTTTCAAAATGCCCATTTATCTGTTTCTGCTTTCTCAGTGTCTTTGCTTGATTTAATTGAGAGGATAATGTGATTATAGAGAACCTGACTTTTTAAGTGTTCTAAATCTGTATTGCTTTTCTTTATGTCCCCAAAGATATGGACATCATATTTATGCCTAAGAATAAAATAATATTATTGTTTTAATATATGTTACGGTTAATGAGAAAGAAGTGTTGTTGAATACTATGACTAATAACTTATGTACTTTGCTCATAGCACATTATTTTCCCATTGCACCGATTGACATTCTTTGCTGCCCCAAGACACTGAATTTTAATATAAAGGTTGTTACTTGATTGTGATTTCCACATATACTTAATAAATTGGTAAAAGAGACTTTTAGCTTATCAAAATGTACTTGCTTAATTTTATTGTTTATTGTCATAAAATATACCCCTTTCTATGGCAGATAGCAAACGTTAGCAACTTAAAATAGCCATACTCTATAGATCAAGAAAAGAGGTTTTAATAATATTGAGAGGGTGGAAGGAATAGTGGATTTTGAAGTAAAGGTTTTAATTTGGGTTAGTTAGAATCATGGGAACTCAAAGTGTGCACTGTGGTTTATTTTGAGATACTTGGGGTTAGAAGATGCCATGTGGGTAGGAGGCAAGAGAAATCATGGATAAAATTGAAGAGGGATTGGAACATATTGCACCTTTTCTGAGGGAAACAGAATAGAGAGTACCAGTTATTTAATAAGGGGGAAAGAAATAGCTGAAAGACTGAGGAAGTGGATTTATATTGGGGCTTGTGGTAGTGTGATCCATTACCTCATGGGACATTTACTTGATACATTATTTTGTTCAGGTAATTTACCTGTAGAGGGAGGGAAAATATTCTCATTTTATAGAGAACTCATGAATGTAGTCTAAGGGATAAATGAGGTGAAGTCCTAAACTCAAGGGCTTACAGGGTCTCAGGCAAGTAAATACAGGCAGCAGGCTGAGTGGGGACTGAGGTGGCCTGGACAAGGCAGGCTTCGCTGTTGGGGGCAGTGCCTTTCAGCATTAAGTAGCTTTTGTGCCCATGTAGGGCTATGCGCCAAATGATGCCAATTCTTTTTTATCAAGAGAAGCAATGAGTCTCTTTATTTTTAAATGCAAAATGAAAGCAAAACAAAACAAATCTTTTAAACACTGTATTTGAAACAGAACATAGCTATGGCTGCATGGCCTAGAGGCTGTCTGCAGCCTCTGCTGGGAGGAGTCATTGGCTCAGCTCTTTAGGCATTAGTAGTTGATCAGAAGGTATACTTTTTCCCCTCAGAAAGTACACTTTTATTTATTTTTGTCACATGGTAACTCTGAGTTGTTCTTAGACTCCCTTAATATTTAGCTAGTTCTAGAAGTGTCTTAAGAATTCTGAGAAGTGACACTATTTCATTCTTTTTTTCCCATATAATTTGGATGAAAGACTAGTTTGGTTGGAAACTAGACTATTGCTAAGGTTCTTAGCTGGTGGAATTTTGCATATGCATGATTATCAAGAGTGTTTAAGTGTGAGTGTGCTTGATGGAAGGTGTCTGGGCTAGGTGACCTTTGATGTCCATTTCAGCCAAGTGATTTTTAGATTTAATTAATCATGGATGCAATGCTATTAAAGCTCATGGGCCAGAGGGACCACAGCTGGAGCTGCGCCAAGCAAAACAAAGCCAAACCGGTAAACCTGTTTTCAGTGGAAGAGCGTCCGACCAATGTGGATTAACAGATGGGAAGTCTGTTAAGATGAGGCAGAAGTCCCCAAAATGGGTTGAAGAAGTAGAAAAATGGGTTGTGTGGTCATTTACATTTCACATTGTTCAGGTCACATTTTCAAGTGAGTTTGCTTTTGCTTTTGGTTCAGAATTGAAGACCCAACTTCTCCTCACACATTGGATTATGCCCAAGGCTTTTCTACCCAATGATTCTCTTGCAACACGCCGGGCTTCCTCTGCCTAAGCGGCCCGCATCCTCTCTTCCTATGTCAGTGGCCGCCAGGTCTACAGGAACCTTGCAGCATTCGCCGCAGAAGCCTTTTGGGCAGGAGGCTTCCTTACCTCTGGCAGGGGAAGAAGAATTACCGAAGGGAGGGGAGCAAGACTCTGCCCTGGAGGAGCTGTGTAAGCCCCTATACTGCAAACTCTGCAATGTCACCTTGAACTCAGCACAGCAAGCCCAGGCTCATTATCAGGTAAGGGAAGAAAAGAAAATCAAGCATTTAGTGGGGAACATTTTTAGGCTTTACCCATTTTGGAGTTTTCTCTCCTGATATGCCTGGAATAATCAAGGTGGCTTAGTGAACGACTAGGTATTAGTTTGACTAAAAGTATAATGTTTGTACTTTGAAAGAAAGCATCGTTTATTGTAAAATGGGATCTTAACCTTCTATACTTAGCTGTATAGTGTTTGATAGCTTACCTGTCATTGTAAGCAAATGTACGCCTTCTATGTTGTTAAAAAAACCTAACAAACCTGTGATTCCAAGGACAGGTATTTGATACATGATGTACCAAACTCAATGTCAGGATTGCCTGGAGGAATTAGTCTTATAAATATTCTCTTCCCTCTGATACAATTTGCATTGGTTCAGGGTAATCTCTGTCTATGAATCTTATGCTTTTAACCTCTGACTCTTCATATGTATCTTATCACTGCCAAGGACAACACAAGTATCTTCTGTAGTGAGAATAAAATGACATTGGAGTATTGAACCTTACCCTTCATTTATAAGAGCACACTCTGATTTCTTTTAGTCCATCACTGTGAACTGCTAATTGTTTCTAAGATTTAAAGCTTTCTCTTCCATGTAGAATAGCTAGTGGAAAAGACAATTTTAAAGGACAAGTGGAAAATTAAATTTTGACTGCAGGGAGAGGGTACAGTATTTCTTTCTATTCTATATTGTTGTCTAAAATCACATAATTTCCTCCTTCTTTTGGAGAAAAGAGACCTGAGAAGCAAGTGAGGCCAAATGCCACTGAGTGAAAGGGTGTCTTCTGGGTTACCATCGATCTGATTATTTATTCTGTCTATGAATATGTACAGTAATGATTCAGTATGGTAGAACAATGAGTTACACAGGCATTGTTTCCTCTCATGCCACTGTTTTTCCAACTTCAGGTTTTTATTTATTCTTTGTGTAAGTCTTTTTTTTGTTCAACCCTAAAGACTGATGATTGTGTCACTTTGTGATTATACATCAGTATTTTGATGGTGTGTTGTTTTCTCTGGGATTTAGGGGAAGACATGACTTGTTGTTCCCCTGACGTTCCCTTTGTTTGGGTTTGTTTTTCCCTCAGGTGCAAAGAGGTGACTTAATTAGACCTATCAGATCTTGGCACATGTCATCCTTGGTTCATACAGGCACCTTCTGGTTCTATTATTATAGTTTTCCCCCTTGCCCCAATTCCTGCTCTTGTTCCCTCTGGGTACCGCTTTCCACCATGATGGTTTGATATCAGAAGGTCTCCCGTTACCTGTTTTATCATTCAGGTGAGTAAATGATAAAACAGGTCTGTTAGGATGATGCATCTAAGACCCAAAACTTAGTATTATTTTCCTCTTCATTCATTCTTGTGGAATGTTCAGTTTTATGGCCTAAGACTTAACTTTGAAAAATCAAACCTGGGTTTTAAACTTTTGATTTTTAGCTGCCCCTAATAAATCATTAAATTGGAAGCAGACCCACTTGCGTGTTCTTTAAAGAAGAGTTGTCTACTTTTACGAGGTAAAATTCTTGGGCAGTGGATAATTTAATATATGTTCATGGGCTATACCTATGCCTCCTGCTTTTTCCCCTCCTAATATCACTTTGTGTTTCTGTAGAAAGTGATGGATGCTCCTAGTTATGCATAGAGAGAATTCACTTTGAGCAGGGTCATTGGAGTATAAGGCTTAAAATTGGTAAGAAAGAGAATCATCATTTATTTCGTTTTATTCTACATTTGTATGTGTGTGCTCTGAACTTTTTAGTTGACGAGATAAGTAAATCTAGTTAGTTGCAGCTCTATCAGTCATACAGTGAATACATCAATTGGAAAATATAAGAAAAGGGAAATAAAGCTGCGGTAAATTTCTCAGTAATCAGAATTATCAAGTGGAAAAAATGGAAGAGAAGGGACAGTCTGTTGTAGGGGACAGTGTAAGGAGCCAAGATCTAGGGTAAACATAGGGTGAAGACGTAGCAAGTGGGTGTTAAGAAAGTAGAACCTAATAGAAAATGTAAAGTTTTGGTGTAATACAAGTGTGTTTCTAACAATTTAGAAGCAGAGATTTGAATGTAATCAATGTTAATGGTAATTTTTAAAGAGGGAGATGAGGCAAGCAGTTTCATTAGGAGATTAGAGAAGAAAGCTACTCTTAGAAGTGAGATATGGATTTTAACAAGACATACATGCTCAAAATGAGAGAATATATCTCAAAAGAGAATCAGCATAATAGACAATGAAAGCATGAACCTAACCTAAGTGGGTGAATCAATATAGAAGGAAAGCATAGACATGTTAGCCTGAAAGATGTGTCCAAGGCTGCACAAAGGGTATTTAAACAAGCAGTGATTCTGAAAGGTTTCGTTAACATTTCTTGTATTACTGGTTTGGTGGTGGTGAACTCCTTCAGCTTTTTCCTGTCTGGGAAGCTCTTTATCTGTCCTTTGATTCAGTAGCTTTACTGGGAAGAATAATCTTGGTGTAGATCCTTGCTTATCATCACTTTGAACAGTTCATGCCATTCCCTTCTATACAGCAAAGTTCCTGTTTAGAAATCAGCTGACAGTCTCATGAGAGCACCCTTATAGGTAACTAACAGCTTTTCTTTTGCAGCTTACAGCATTTTCTCTTTGTCTTCAACCTTCGGCATGTTAATTATGTTGTGTCTTTGGGTGGGCCCCTTGGAGTCCATCTTGTTTGGAACTCTGATTTTCTTGGACTTGTAGGGCTCTTTCCTTCCCAAGGTTAGGGAAGTTTTCAGTCACTATTTCCTCAAATAGATTTTCAATCCCTTGCTCTCTCTCTTCTCCTTCTGGTACTCCTATGATTTGAATGTCGTTACACTTGATTTTGTGCCAGAGGTCACTTAAACTATTCTAATTTTTAAAATTATTTTGTTGTTCTAATTAGGTGTTTTCTACTATGTTACTTCCAAATTGTTGGTTTGATCCTCTGCATCTTCTTATCTGCTGTTGATTCCATCGAATGTATTCTTCATTTCAGTTATTGAATTCTCCATTCCTGACTGGTTCTTTTAAGAAGAAAAAAAATTAAGTATCACAAAGAAAAAAATTCTCACTGACAAAGGCAAACACATAATAAAAACACTTGATCAATCAACACTAAAGCTAGTGCAAAGGTTAAAAGGCCAAAAATGTAGGAAGGGTTGTGTGATTACAATAGTAAATCAAGGGATACCCACAAACAAATACAAAAGAAGTAAAAACTGACAAAAACATAAATGTGGAGGGGGTAAGTAGAAATGGTAGTGATTATAGAATGTGTTTGAACTCAAGCAACTATTGACTTAAAGGAGACTGCTATAAACATAGCTTGGTATTCATGAATCATATGGTGACCAGAAATCAAAAGTATGCGAGAGATATACAAGAAATAAAGAGGAAGGAATCCAAACATAATAGTATGGAAAGTTATCAACATACCAAAGAGGAGAGTATGAGGGTAGGGAAGGAACTGTGAAGACCTACAAAAACAATCAAAGCAATAAAATAGTAGTAACTATGTTCCTACTCATAATTTCTTTAAATATAAGTGGGTTAATTGCTCCAATCAAAAGATGAATAGATAAAGAATATGTGATCTATGGAATATTACTCAGCCACAAAGAAGAATGAAGTCTTACCATTTGCGACAACATGGATGGACGTAAAGGGTATGTGCTAAGGGAAATAAGTCAGAGGAAGATAAATACTCTATGATTTCACTTATATGTGGAGTATAAAAAACTAAACAAGTCAAAAAACTTATACAGAGCAAACTGATGGTTGCAAGATGGGTGGGGATTTGAGGAGCTGGGTGAAAAAGGTGAAAGGATTAAGAAGTACACATTGTCGGTTACAAAATAGGATGTTAAGTGCAGCTTAGGGAATATAACCAGTAATATTGTAATCACTATAAATGATGTCAGGTGGATGCAAGACATATCCGGGGATCAACTTTATAAATTTCTAACCACTATATTGTACATCTGAAACTAATACAATATCAAATGTCAACTATAATTTAAAACTTAAAAAAGTCAACTAAGGAAAAAAGGCAGTGATTATAAAAGGGTACTAAAGGCAAGGGTAAGACCAATGAGTAAGTCTTACCAGAACCAGGAATGGGCAGAATGGCAAGCATCGTAGACCAACAAAACAAAGTGGTTAATGAGATGATGAAAGTAAAGTTTTATTTCAGCTCTAAAAACCTGCTTTATAATTTTTATTTTATTTTTAAAAATATTTCTTTTTAGAGAGGGATGGGAGGGAGAAAGAGAGGTAGATAAATATCAATGTGTGGTTGCCTGTCATGTGCCCCCTACTGGGGACCTGGTCCACAACCAAGGCATGCGCCCCCACTGGCAATCAAACTGGTAACACTTTGGTTTGCAATCCAGCGCTCAATCCACTGAGGCACACAAGCCAGGGCTAATTTTTAATAGAGAGTGATACCAAGGCTGCAATTCATTATTTCAGTTATGTGTGAGATAAAAGGGGTTAGTGATAGTTTGTTTATAAGCTAGAAACACCCTCTTGTGAAGTGATAAGTCACTGTGATTACATTACTCAAACGTTCTAGTTAATTGATGCTACTGTTGAAATCACAAAGTTTCAAATTGCCCAGGGTATTGTAAACAATCCTCAATCTGGTTTGAACAGTGTTACACAAGTCTGTATCATGTTCTAGTAATCCAGGACAGACAGTGAAAACTGCTCAATAAATACTTCCCTTTAAGCTCTCTATTGTTACATCCAGTCCTTGCGAGCAAGAAGGGTCGGAGACTGTCGGGTAGTCAAAGATGGTTTATTGGCCAAAGTTTCAAGCCAAAGTTTCAAAGTTTTACCTGCGCAGGGGCGAACTCTCGGCGTGTCTCCGGAAACACGGGTGCCAAAATGGCTGCAAATGAGAGTCTCGCCTAACGCTTACAAGCTAGGGTTTTTATAGGAGCGGAGCAAGCAAGCAGTTTTGCAGAAGCGAGAGG